GTGAGGCACAGAGCTCATGGAGAGTGCGATTTAAAGATACTTTTATTTGGTACAAAAAGTTTTGAACTTCATTTTTCCACAAACTTCTTGAGGTACCCTCCTGTACACATACACCTGCAAACACACTGAACCCCCACATCACAACACACCCCTATAGACCCCAGACACATCTCAACATCCGTATAGAGCACACACACACAGTACCTGCCTACATGTATATAACACATAGCAGGACAACGTGCACACAGACACCTGCTGCACACACACACACACACACTGGTGTGCTCACACTGATGGAGAAGCACACGGGCACACCTCCATGGACCTCCCCTCCCCATCCCTGGATACGCAGACATATACTTCAAGGTCTGCCCAAGACTGCCTGGACAGGACTGTGCCCTGTTGGAGCTGTGGCTTCCAGCTGCTGGGCTCTCTCACCTCCCTCTGCAGGGCTTAGCGGGGAAGGCTGCCCCGCCACCATGCACCACGGGGCCCTGGCCCCACCCTCCCTCCTTGGCCTTCCTGGCAGCAGGGAACTGGAACTGTCCCAGATGGCCACAGCTCTGCACAGCTCCCTGGGAGTGCGAACAAGAAAACAGAAATACAGTTCAATGAGGCAGCAGCAACACAGAGGGGCCGGGGCCCTGCCGGAGGTGAGCCTGCCCGGCCTGAACCCCGCAGCCAGTCAGCCTCTCAGGGTTGTGCAACTTCCGGTTTCAAGCAAACCTGGTGACAGTCACATCTGCCCTCGCTGTCACCACAAATAAGCCGGAGTGGAGTGGGTTCCTGGGGACGGCTCCCTCCAAGGTCGGTGGCTTTCTAGCAGGCTTCCTCCCTTGCAGGCTCACCTGGGCTTTTTCTTTTCTTTTTTTAAAAACTTATTTGAAAGGCAGAGTGAGAGATCTTCCATCCACTGGTTCATTCCCCAGATGGCCAGGACAGCCAGGGCTGGACCAGGCTGAAGCCAAGAGCTTCTTCCGGGTCTCCCACGTGGGCGCAGGGGGCCAAACACTTGGGCCATTCTCTGCTGCTTTCCCAGGCGCATTAGCAGGGAGCTGGATTGGAAGTGGAGCAGCCAGAACCGGTGCTCTGAAATGGGAAGCGAGGCTTTTTCTGAGGGACGCTTCCGTGTCCAGGCAAGTTTTAACATGGAGCGTCAGACTTCTCCCGCATCACGGCCACCAAGCCTGGCCCTGCAATCGGGGCTCCTGAGCTGTCCCAGGGCTCACAGCCCTCCATCTCCTCCCATGGCTGGAGCCGCTGTGTGTGTGTGTGTGTGTGTCCCTCTCACACAATCAGCAGTGGATTCAGACAGCATGAGCGGTGGGAGCTGCGCACGCGCAAGCATCTTTGCTCTGGAGCTCAGGTGACACACGGTCGCGGGCTGCTTGAAAACACACCTTGTTCTTTCGTCTGGGAGATGCCACACTCTCACAGTCTGCGCCTGCTGTCACAACGCAGCAGGAAAGGACTTACCTGGACTCCATCCGCTCCAGCTCCGTTCCCCAGGCCGGGATGCCCTGTTAGTCCTTGCGAGCAATTTTTTGCTTCTATTTCCTTCACTTGCAAGAAAGCTTTGCCAGGGGCAGTCAGGCCCCCATGGCGTTGTGCTTTGCTGTCCACCCCAGCCGGGGCCCTTCCCCCCGCCCCCCACAGGGCTGCAGCAAGAGGAAACCGCCTGGCGACACCCTCTACCCCCACCCCAGGTTTTGAAGACATCAAACTTCAGCTGCCAGCAGTCGGTCTTTCCAACAAGCCAAGTTTGAAACAGTGCTGGTTTAGAAAAGTAAGTTTGGGAACGGAGTGGAAGCAAGGCCTTTGAAATGCAGTTTGGCCTAAACAGCACCACGCTGTAGACATTTCCTCCTTGCTGCATTTTCTTCATGATGGAGAGGCCAGGGAGCCTGCAGGGTCTTTGCACCTCCCCCTTGCCCTGAAACTCCCCCCCCCCCCCCAGTGGAGACTTTCAGCCATCCACCCCCGCCCCCGCCCCTGCATCTGGGAGAACTCTGATTCAGTTCCCCAGCCCCTTTGGCAGAGCGCGCCAAGCCCCAAAACGCTCCAGTTAACACCAGTGCAATCATCGTTAACGCGAACCAGCTGCCCCAGGCCTGGGGCTGCACCAGCGCGCCCCCGCCCCTCCCTCTCAGCTGTGAGTCACAGGAGACCCAGGCTGATGCAGGGCCCACGGGAGGGGTGCAGGCAGGGGTTGATAAGGCCCAGCTGTTGCAGAGAAGTGAGCAACCCGGGGCTGAATCTCTTACCTCCTTTTGCGAAGTGTTAGGCCGTGTGTGTGTGGGAAGGGGGATGGGGAAGAAAAGACATGATTTATGAACCTCATTTTTGAAGTTTTTAAAGTAGTGTTTTAAAGAGAAGAATGGAGGAGTCATCACAGCAAGATTTTGTTCAACTGTTTGAGAATCAGCAGGCAATCAATGCAGTCTTTTCCCTTTTCCAGAGACCGGCTTTCTGGTCACTTAGACACATCCAGCCCCGACACCAACTCCTCTTGCATAAGTAACTTGTCTGTGCTCACTCCCAGAGGAAGTTGTCTGCGTAAACAAACATCACCCAGATCCAAGTTTAATCTGCTCAATCCTCCTGCCCGTCCCTCCCAGCAAGGACACTGTCAGGCCTTCCGAAGTCCAGCCAAAGCCACCCTTCTCCCACCCAGGCTGGCCTGGCTGTCCACCTCAGCTCAGGCCCCAGGCCCCGTGGGCCTGGGCTGGCAGAGCGAGCCTCTGCCCCTTCCCCACCAAGCAGTTCTGCTTCCTGGGCGTCCCAGCAGGAAAGGAAAAAAAAAAAAAAAAGGACCTTCAGCTGCCACTGCGGCCACGTGACCCGTTCAGTGACTCATGCAGACCACGCCCCCTGAGGGCTCCCGCCAGGCTCAGCCCGTTGGCCCAGGCCGGGATGCATCTTATTAGCAAAGGGGACAGTTAACCAGTGCCGCTCATAGTCCCAGTAACTACTTCCCCTCAGCTAAAGGAATTCGTCATAAAAAACACAGGTTCCTGTGGAGTTAGGCTCCACCAGCGTGCTCCCCTCCGACGCCCAACACCTGGGCCGTGCCTGACATGCCCACAGCAGAGAGAGCCAGACTTTGCTGCTTAAAAAGAGAACTGCTTCCACAGGACCAGTTTTTTTCCCAAAAATTTTATTGGGGGAAAACTACAAAACATTTACAGTACAATGTTTACAGTCACAATTTGTAGTGAACTGATTCCCCAAAATATATTACAACTCAAGTTGACTTCTCTTGTTACATTCAAACACCTACTTCCGCGAGAGCAGTCCAAGGGTGCGCGCGTGGTGCTCCAGCCACCTGTACCTACACACACTAGAGCGACCGCCCATTCATCCGCTGTCCACGAAGGCTCGGGAAACGTCCCTGCCCTTCTACACGGAAAAAAATAGAATAGTACAAGTTTTGGAATTTTCTGTAATCAAACAAGGCATATTCATGTACTAGATATCATTTCAGCGCTAAGAGGTGGCCTCTTTGTATCTCTATAAAAAAAGTGGTAAAGATCTCTTCCTTTTGTGCAGTTGAACCCATCCTACATTCAGATTCTCAAGCACTAACAAAATACTTATTTGGTTGAGGAAGATTTAAGGCAAGTTCGGGCCCTTTCGAAGGCACTGAGACTACCCCCCCCCATTATTGCTACATGTCTGTATACTCCAGAGTGTCACAGTAGAAGTGGTGAAACAAGCAAACAAAATACTTTTTTTTTGCTAGTTTATAAAGGTGGAATTAGAAAAAAAGCATGCCACACTTAAGCCTGATTGCAAAGCATGGTCATTTTTTTTTTCTATAAACTTGGATGGGCTACAACCATTATACATTCTAAGAAAACTCCTAAGATAGTCCTCAAACTACTTCCACAGCATCAACATAGATTTCTGTAAAGAAATCATGCAATCTTTCAAAATTTACGTAAACAAGGAAAGAAATTAATGAAATAAATATTACATACAATCTCTTAAATTAAGATTTGTTTTACTCATTTACAATAAAATAACCAAGTGAAGTTACAAAAGGCATATATTACTGTGAAAAGAACATACACTCCACGTTTTGCCGATTAATAATGGCAATCATAATTTAACATAATAAAAGAATATATATCTATTGCTTCTCATCATACTTGATAAATACAGTATGAACAAAATTTTCAATGTATACTTTTCACAAGATAATAAATAAGTTAAATAGTTTTTTTTTTCATGAGTTGTGGTGCAGTGGTGCGAATCAACTCAAAACAGCTAAAAATTCAGCAGTTATTCCCCAACGATTACAAACTAAGCTCTGCCCACGACTTCCAGAGAGCAGACAGCAATGGTTCTAAACTAAACATCCACTAAGTGGTGGCAATGAACCCAGTAACCAGTATGAAACTTTGGAATGCAAGGGTTTGTTTTCTTCCCCCAGATGTACGCCTAACTATGTTAAAAAAAAAAAACAAAGAAAGAAACGAAACGAAACTATGAGGGCTCCTATCAAGGCATATTCTTGGCAGAAATACTGGATTCTAAAAGCCCATAGGTTAGCAAGGTGGTGGCTGGCGGCCCCCGTTCCAGGCAGGGGTCTGCATCCGGACCGGACCCGCCGCATTTCAAGTGAGGACTGGAATGGTGGCTGGCAGCTGCTGTGCTGGGCGGACGTGAGTCCCAGTCTCACCGGAGACCTAAAAGAGTTTCAAAGGTTTGGCTTTTTTGTTCTATTCGCATCACAACTGCCCTGTTGCATTTTGTTCATCCATACAAAAAGTTCGTTGGCTTTTTGTTGCTCAACAAGACTTGAAAACTTGGTAATAATAATAATAAAAATAATAATTATAAAAAAAAAGAGGAAACCGAAAGGCGGGGGGAGGAGTGCGGACCCCTCCCCGCACACAGTTCGAGTCCAGGCTCTCGGGTCGGGCCTGCGGCCTTCGGCCCCGCCGCCCTCCAGCTCCCCCACGGCGGCCTTCCCTTCCTCCTCCTCCTCCTCCTCCTCACTGGCGCCCTCTTCCTCCATCGTCGGAGGACGAACTATACATCTGGCTGGGCAGGCGGCGGCCGGGGTCCAGGCTGGGGGACTCGGAGCCGCTGAGGCTGCCCGAGCTCAGGGAGCCGCTCAGGTAGCTGTCGCGGTCCTGTGACCTCCCTCTACAGAGGCGCGTCGAACACCGGCGACTCGGACAGGCGGCGCGGCAGCTGGAAGGCGAAGGGCGGCGAGGGCGGCGCGGCGGCCGCGGCGCTGGCGGGGAGGGGCGCGCTGGGCGGCGCCGGGGGCTGCGCGGGGGGCGCCAGGCCCTGCTGCTGGCTGCGGTAGTAGGCGGCGGCCGCGGCGGCGGCGGCGAAGTTGTGGGTCTGGATGGCGAGCGGCGTGATGAGGCTGCTCAGCTCCGGGCCGAAGGCGAAGGCGTTGTTGGCGCACGAGGCGGCCGAGCAGGCGGCGCAGGGCGCGCCGGTGGCCAGCAGGTCCTCGGCGCCCCCGGAGCCGTAGAGCAGCGCGGCCGCGGCCGCCGCTGCCGCCGCCGAGGCGCAGCACGTCGGGGCGCCCGAGGGCGTGGAGGCCGCCGAGGCCGAGGAGGAGCAGGAGGAGGCCGAGGAGGAGCAGGACGAGGCCGAGGAGCAGGAGGGCGGCGGCGGCGTGCGCGACGTGGGGCTGTCCAGCAGCAGCGGCGACTCGAGGCCCCCCGGGGGCTGGTGGTGGCCCGACGGGAAGCCCGAGAAGCTGAGGCTGTGGTGCAGCTTGGGCCGCGGCTCCCGCGCGAAGCCCAGGTGCAGCGCATCGCGCGCGCTGAAGGCGCGCAGGTCCCCGGAGGCGCCCCCCGACGGCGCGGGCCGCCGCTCGTCGGCATTGTGGATGAAGTGGCAGCGCGGCCCGTAGGGGCAGAAGCCGATGGTGTGGAAGGTGCGGCACAGCTCCGTCTTGTACTTGGGGTGCCGCGTCAGGCTGCGCAGCTCGTGGAAGCCGTGCGCGAACTGGCACTTCTCGCCGTACTTGCACGTGCCGCTCTCCTCGAAGGGCCGGCACAGCTCGGTCTTGTAGCGGGTCGAGTTGATCTGGGAGCCGCCGGCTCCCTTCTGTTGTTGCTGCTGCTGCTGCTGCTGCTGCAGGTGCAGGAGGTGCTGGCTGCGCTCGCCGTTCTCGCTGAACGAGCGGTCCCGGAATTTGTTCTCCTTGTTGAGCAGGGCCGTGCCGCCGCCGCCGCCCCCCGACGGCTCCTTGAGGGTGCCATAGGAGGCCGGGCCACCGGCCGCCGCGCTGCCGCCGTTAGCGGCGCCCGGGAACTTGGGCGAGCAGCTGCCGGGACTCGGCGCGGGGTGCGCCAGGGCGTGCAGGTTGCTGGCCGAGTGCCGTCGGAGGAAGCCCGGCGCGAAGCCCGAGGTGGGGGCGGCGGCCACGGGCGTCCCCACCGCCTTCTTGTCCAGCATGTTGTTCAGATTGAGGTTGGCCAGGGATTTCTCCGTCTGCCGGGGAGGGGAGAGCGAGCGGGGAAGGGATGAAAAGACGGACGGGGAGGCTAGCTGCACAGTCAGCCCCAACCTCTGGCTTCTTTCCCAGCTCCTTTTCCCCCCATTTTTTTTTTTTTTTTTTTTTGCAGGCTTCGCCTCGGCCTCCGCCCTCCTCCACCCGTACACACGCGCAAAAGAGCAGCAAGTTTGCGAGCAAGGCCGGCGAGGGCGGAGGCCGCCCAGCCTGGCCGCGCTGGGCTCCGACATGTGATCTGCAGCCCGCGGGCCGCCGGGTGGGCGGCGCAAACACCGTCCGGGAAGCCCCGGGCAGCGTGGCCGCCGCCGGCTCCTCCCCGCCCACAAGGCTCGAGCACACCCGGCTGCAAGCGGCGGGACTCTTCCCCGCCGGGAAAGTCACGGCGCGGAGGGGTCGCCCCGACGCGGGGGCGGCAGACGCGCCACGTCCGAGACGGCCCGGGGCCTCCGCTGGCCCGCGCGCCCGCCTCTCCCTCCCTGCTGCCCCGCGTACCTTGCACAAGAAGTCGATGTCGTAGAAGGCGGACAGAAGTGTGGTCGACATGTTTCTGGGTCCCGTAATGGTCGGAGCCGCAGGCGGGGAGGTCGGGAGGAGCCCTCGGGGCGGCGCGGCCGGCCTCGAGCCACGACGAATAACGGGCGAGGGGCGGGCAGGGGCCGAAAGTTTGCCGCGGGGCGAGCGGAGAAGCGGCGCGGACCGGGCAGGGGCTGCCCTGGAGTGCGGAGCGGGGCGGGGGGAAGAGGAGAGGGAAGCAGAGCGCGCTCCTCCGCGCCCCGGGGTGCCGGCCCGCCCCCCGCGCGGAGCCGACGGCAGCTCGCGGACTGCTGGAACTCGGCGGCCCGCGAGCGCGCGCCCTATATAGAGCCCGCGCGCCCGGCCGCGGCGGGGCGGGCGCGCGGGGGGCGGGGACACCGCGCTGACCCCGCCGGGGTCTCCAGGCAACGCCGCCCGCCGGCTCGCGGACGTCAGGCGCCTTCCCGGCTTCCCATTGGCCGCCGCCAATTTTTTTCCTCCGGAGGGGGGAGGGAGCGGGGAGACTTCGGGGCGGGGCCGGCCGCCGGGGCGCCCGGGGCGGCACGGAGAGCTCGGCCGGGCTGGGTGCTGCTGGGTGGGTGGCGGCCGGCGGACGCGGCTCTCGCCCTCTGCTGGGGCTGCCGTGGTGGAAAGCCCCAGCACGTGTAACGTGATCAGGGCTCTGCAGTCCTGGACGGGTCTGTCCCCGCCCGCTCCTGCGAGGCGGATTTGCCAAGTTATTATCTGCTACTCTGGGTTTTGTGTTGGGCGCGGGAATTGCAAAATGCGCGAATCTTGCCAACCGTCCGCGAGGCCCGTCTGGTTTGCAAAGGGTGCTCAGGACGGAGGGCGGGGGCTCCGGCCGGGCTGCACGTGGAGCGACGCGTTGGGGGTGGGGGCGGCAGCGGCCACGCGGGCGGCCGGCCGCCGTCTTGCCCGGAGGCTCCCGAGCTGGTTTCTCCGCCCCTCTCCCCGCCCAGGCTCAGTAAACAGGGCTGGAGCGCCGGGGCCTGCCGGGCAGGGCTGAGTGTCTGAGGACAAGGCGCTGGCTTTGCTAATCACATCACAAGACCTTGAGCCGGGGCCAAAGGCGTGGAGTGGCGCGGGGCGTCCCGGGCGGGGGAGCGGACTCGGAGGACGCGGGGAGAAGCTGGGTGAGCCGTGCAGGCGCGGAGGTAGCTTCCCGCCGGCCTCCCGGGGCGTTGGGGGTGCCGCGGCCGCCGAGGGTCCGCGCCCAGCGCAGTCTGGGCCTGTCGCGCGCTCCAGGCCACTTCCCATCCCCGGCCGAGCCAGACCTGCGGCCCCGGTGGGGCACCCCCTTCGCTCTCCAGCTCCACGCCCCAACAGTTTGCACTGAGAAATGCGGTTTGCCGAAGGGTGCGCCGTCCCTGTTTGGGTACGGGGCAGACACCCGCCCGCAGCGCCGAGAGGCGAAAGCCACTGAAAGCACCTTCTCGCTCAGTCTGCACTGGCTGCCAAAAAGCTGGGGCCAGGCCCGCGCTGTCGTCCACCTGGCAGCCTGCACCCCAGCCGCGCTTAGCTGGAAGGTCCAGGGCGCTCAGGGAAGGAAGTTTACCTGGCCCCCACCCCTCCCCGAGTGGATCTCCCCACTTGCTGTGTCCGCACTAAGTTCGTTCCTTTTGGTGATCATTGTGTCAGTTAACCTGGAACAAAACGAGCTAGGCGGGTCGCTCAGGGCCCTGTGTGCCTTCCCCATGCTCTGCTCCCCTCCCTGCCCAGGGAGCTAGAGTCCAGGGTAGGGCTGGAGTTTAGCCCCCCCCCCCCCCAGCATGTGGTCTTGAGCGAATCACATGGCGAGTTGGTGCTTGGGTTTCCTCGCTTGTAAAACTCAAGATAAAATGCATGCTTTTCTCACCTCTCACCTTTTGTCAAGGTGCAAATGAGGTATCTGCGAAGGTGTCTAAAAGATAAAACAAGTACAAGCCATCTTATGCATGAAAGTGACAAAGCATAAAGAGGAAGCCAGGCCCTGTGGGTGGGGGTCCTCAGAATAGTGAGTGTGGCGGAGCTGGGGAGCGGGGCGAGCACCCAAGTCCTGGCCCCTAGAGTTTGGAGCCAGGGGCAGGCAGAGACGTGGGAGAGGTGAGAGCTGCCCCACGTGGCTGGGCGAGGGCTGGCCCTGTTTTGAGCTTTGTCTGGTGGCCTCCAGAGCCTGTCCGCCTTCTGTTTCTCCCGGGGAATGCATCAGCAAAGTGTAAAACAGCCTTTCCCCTAACCACTGCCGTTAGGGGAGCAACAAGATTTCAGATACAAAACCAGTGGGAACATCTGTTCCTCCTGCCTTCGAGGCTGGCTGCAGCCAGCAGAGATCAAAATCGGGGGTAATTCCCAGGCCACAGCAGCGAGAACACCCACTCTGCAGACGTGGTGGCAGGATTCTGGGGACGACATGTAAACATGGTAGGAACATGCTTTGGTACCGAGTACCTGTGTGTACAAAATACTCCCATCGTTATGTAACTGCTTTTATTTCACTTGAAATGGAGAAAACAGGAGCACTGGCCTTTTCCAGTGAGCTGGGCTTTGCTGGGCCGGGTTTGTCATTATTCTCCCGTGCTTATCACCACGTCACGCCACTAAGGCCCTGACTTCTCACCAGGCAGGTCTTAGAACAGAAAAGTGTGAGGTTGGCAACTTTCCATCAGGTGTGGGCTACACAGATGCCTAGCTAGGTAATTATTTCAGGATCACAAAAAAACCACATTTGGGGCTGCCTGGTTGCAAAACCAGCCAGGGAGTTTCCTGTTCGCTTTAGGACAGGACTCTGGTGCTGAGTTAACTTTCTTCCTGCCCTGCTGCGGAGGCCTTTGTGCTTCGGCCTTGGCTGCATGTCAGTGGCAGCGAGCTTCTTCCAGAGACAGATTACACTCGAGACGTCACCTTTTCTGCCGCAGGAGACGGACATGTGAAAATCCCTCTTCTCTAACGTGCACCGTCAGACCCTCATACAAAAAGATCCTTTGAAATGACCTCCCCTCTGAGAAGTACTTAAAAATATTTACAGAGCCTAAAACCTTGAACTGGTTTATAGGCTATGAGCAAAATGGCCTTTTCAGATACCTAGGCTGAAAATGAATGTGGATGAAGCTATGGCCCATCTAAGCTATGCATTTCAAGATAACAGCCTGTGGGAAACATTTACTCTGAAATTATAGATTAAGGAAAAAAGAGCAGCAGCAAAAAGTATGCAAGAGCGCCACCTGCTGGCTGTGTCAGGAAGAGTGCTTGGGCTGGACTTGGAAAAACAGAAAACCCTAAGGTTTCTCAGAACAGATCAGTGCAATGGAGAACTGTGTTTCCCCGGGTCTTAGATGGGAATCGTTCTTGTTGCCACCAAACAAATGATGGTACACAGTATAGGCATTGAGTTCTTTACTCTGGCTCTCTTTCTCCAGGTTCCTTCCAATTTGCTTTCACCACGTGCCAAAGTCAGGTTTCCTAGCATTCGCATAGGTATGGGGTGGGGGTGGTTAGGGGAGCTCTCAATGGCTCTTTGAATAATTAGGATGGAATGTGTAGGTCACTGCAGGACTTATACATGCAGACAATAAAAACAAAATTATTTCTATGAGGTTGATCCTTACTTAATTCTCCCAGGATCCAACATGTGGAACATATTTCTACTTTGCTAAAATGGAATAAAATTTAGAAACCTGACCAATTGGGCTGTTTGCCAACGACTCCAGCGCCTACAAACAGCCAGAAGGGGCGGCGGGGCTCATGGGTGTGTTAGAACTCAGTTCTGTGTAGTCGATTCACAGAAATGCTGGGTGGCTACGCTTGGATGTTAGAGGCCCCGGGGGACGGAAGAGGCTCCCGCAGGCCTGCAGGTGGCCTGCACCTGGGAACAGAGGAAAGATTCAGCGGGGCAGCCTCACTTCCTACAGTAGCTGCAATAAACGAGGCTGCCTGGGATGAATGAACTGAGGGAACACTCCTCAGTAAGAAAGAAGCCACGGAACACTGGACCAGCCACGGAAGTGGGCCAGGCCTGGAGCGGAGAAAAACCAGCTTTCTGTTCAACACGTTTCCAACAGGCACCCCCGGCCCCCTGTCTCTTCTCTTCAACACCCTTTCTGTTCCCGGGAGGGTCTGCTGACTCGCCTCTGCGGGGGCTCCCGCAGCCCCGGGAGCTGGGGGTCTCCTCCCTGCCCGGCCAGAGAGGCCAGCAGCCCCAGGCCAGCCAAAGTCCTCTCCTCCTGAACACGCAGTCTGCCGAACTCCACTGTCTTCCGAAACTCTGCAGCGGGCGGGAGCTCTCTGAAGAGCTGGGCCAGGAGCTGGCGCTGCCCCGACAGCGTCCCCCGCAGGTGACACAGCCAGTCGGGGCTGGGGGGGCGCCAGCCGGTCTTGGAGAGCAGACTGTGGAGGTGCTTGCAGAGGTGCTTCACAAACATCAGGGGCTCGGCCCAGAAGTTGACCTCCGCCTTCTCGAACAGGTGGTCGTCTTCCACCTACATCCGACGAAAACACCCGAGAGCAGTCATCCAGGGAGTGGTGACAAGCCCAGGCCGGACCAGCCAAGCTCTGCCAGATGCCCAAGAGGTATGCCCCTCCCCCAGCTGCCAGAGGGCCCACTGTGGCCCGTCCACACCCACACGTGTGCGCCACTTGCAGCCTTGAAGGCCACCTTCTATTTTCACTTGCTGTGCCGCTCCGACACAGAGGAATTTCCCCCAGACTTAACATGACCTTTGATAAGGATGTGTTTGTGGTTCAAAGCCAAGGTGTTTTGGGGGCCTGATGTGGCGAGGGGGCTCTGGGCAGCTCCGGGCAGGGAGTGAGCCCTGGGCCATCCGAGAGGCAGGGAAGAGGGAAAGCCCGGCGGCAGTGTGATGAGCGCAGGATCGCCCAACACGAGAGCCCGGTCTGCGCGTGGGGCCGGGTCGCTGTGAGGCCGCAGCCTTTCAAGGTGGTTTTATCACAAACGCTTTATCATGGCTCTGCATTTCCCCTAACAGGTTGCCTCTGAACTGCTGGCCTGCAGGGTGACAAGAAGGCCAGCTGAGTCGGCCACTGGTGGCCGTGGATTCTGGCTCCCGGGCTGCGTTTCCCCGGGACTGCCCCCGCGTGCCTCCAGAGAAGGGGTTCATCGTTTTCTCCAAGCAGCAAGTCCCTGGGAGGCCCCTGAGCACGCCACTCTCAGGCCTAACTGTGGGGGTGGCCCTGGCTAACTCACACCCACTAGTAAGCCTCTGTAACTAAACTCCCATGTCCAAGGGGCTTCTTCCAGAGTTCTCTCCCCTGGCTGATCTGAACCCTCCAAAGCAGCATGGCAGCGTGCCCAGCACCCACAGCAGCGCCCGGCAGGTGACGTCCCCGCTGGTGCTAAGTGTCCCAAAGCACACTTTCACAAGCTCACTGGGCGAGCCCTGCCACCCCGCCCCGAGACCCCGGGCTTACCTGATCTGTGCTCTCCACACAGACCACGGGCTCGTCACCCTCTCCCAAAAGCCACCCCAGCAGGATGGGCAGTCCAGGAGCCAGCTGGTCCCACTGCTGGAGCAGGTCACACAGGACAGCCAGGGCCAGGGCCAAAGCGATGGAGGCGTCCACTTGGCAGAAGGCGAATTCTGCAGACAGGAGACAGGGGAGCAGTGGTGGTGCTGCTCAGGACCAGCCCACGGGGCCCACGGGGCCCACGGGGCTCTGGGACTCACTGCCACCAGCCAAGCAGGGAAGCTGGGGCAGGGAGTCTCAGTGCCCTGAGTCCTGCTGTCTACACAGCTAGAGGGAGTCACAGGCCTGAAGCCCACCGTCTCTGTGACCCCCATCTCAGTGTGGACAGAGCAGCCCCACCTGTGGGCCCACACAGCCCTCTCCCCGCCACCCTTCATGGGGAACCCTCCCCGCCAGCATCTCGTTGCTCTTGCCCATCCCACTGGGTGGCCCCCTCCTTGGAAAACAGACCCTTCTGGGCACATATCACGTTGAATCTCTAACATCTTAGAGCAGAGCATGCGCTTACTTCTCTTTACAGGGCCTGAGAGGACGAATCATCCCTTGCTTAACTACTGGGATACGCTCTGAGAAACACACTGTGAGGCGATTTGTCATTGTGTGAATGTCACCGAGCCCACGAACACAAACTAGACGGCCGCAGTGTCACCAGGCTGCAGACTTCGGTGGGACCGCCACTGTATACGCAGCCCGTCCTCAATCCATTTAGGACCTGGAAGGCCACGAGGTCTGAGACACCTCCTCAACTCGGCCCAAAGCAGCCGCAGCCAATCCGTACAAGGACGGGTGTGGCTGGGTTCCAAGCTCACTTGATTGCCGACACTGCAATTTGAATTTCATGTGCCCCAAAATAATAATATTCTTTTGATTTTCTCAACCACTGAAGAAATGAGCTATTTGTAGCTCGCGGACTCTACAGAAGCAGCTGGGAGACTGGGTGAGGCTCGTGTTCTGCTGCCCTCTGTCCTGGCCTGAATCCACCAACAGAGTAGGAGTGGGGTGCAGAAAGAGGAAGTGGGGCGCCTTGGGGAAACCATTGCTGATTTCACCACCGGCCCTAGGCAGTCCTAAATATGGGTTTGTAGGAAGGCTTAGGGTGTTGACATTTCCGCTAACAACCCTGCCCCTGCCATCCCAACCTGGAGGAGGCCTGGAATCCCCTCACTCAGACAACGGGCTGCAACAGCTCCTCCTGCCCCAACAGCTGCCTTTCTTTTTAATTTTTATTTTTTAAAGATTTAATTTATTTATTTGAGAGGTGGAGTTACAGAGAGAGAGAGGGAGACACAGAAAGGTCTTCCATCCGCTGGTTCACTCCCCAGATGGCCAAAACAGCTGGAGCTTTGCTGATCCGAAGCCAGGAGCCAGGAGCTTCTTCCAGGTCTCCCACACGGGTGCAGGGGCCCAAGCACTTGGGCCATCTTGCACTGCTTTCCCAGGCCATAGCAGAGAGCTGGATTGGAAGTGGAGCAGCCGGGACTCAAACTGGAGCCCAAATGGGATGCTGGCACTGCAGGCAGAGGCTTAGCCCACTACGCCACGGCGCCGGCCCCTCCAGTGCCTGCCTTTCGATCACACACTTCTGTTCAGCCCTCAGCTCTCCTGACTCCACATTTCCCACTTCAGCTCGCGGCCGCGTTCCTGACCATCTGGCCCCCAAGGAGACCGGCTCAGCATAGGCAGGGAAGGCTGAAAGTGTGCAACAGAAGGCGCAGCCCTCTAGGGTGCTGAATCAGGCTGCTGAGGGTGGCCCCGCTGAGGGCCCAGGAGGTGCTGGGTTTTGAATCACTGCTCCATCTCCAATCTTTCCAACATTCTCTGAGTGCAGAATTGCCACCCCCACTGTACAGCTAAGGAATCTGGGCTCAGAAAGGCTGATTTGTGTGCAATCACAGAACTCTAAGCAGCGCAGGTGCTGTGGAGAGCTGCAGCTTGGGACACCCACATCCCATGCTGGAGTGCCTGGGATCGAGTCCCACCTCCGCTTCTGATCCAACTTCCTGCTTATGTGCTTGGGAGGCAGACAATGGCCCAAGCGCTTGGGTTTCTGCCACCCACATCAGAGACCTGGTTGGAGTTCCTGGCTCCTGGCTTCAGCCTGGCTGAGCTTCAGCTGTTGTGGGCATTGGGGGAGTGAACCAGCAGATGGAATTTCTCTCTTGTCCCTTTGCTTTTCAAATAAAAAAAAAGTTGCTACTAAAGAAAACAGAATTGCTAATAAGCTTCGTGGTGCATGCAGAGCTCAGATTTGGAGAATGAGCATCACCACCGCAGACGCAGGTTTTCATGGTGAGATAAGCAGGGTTGGTGATCCTGCAGCGGGGCCAGGACAAGTTAGAGGCCGCAAAGCAGAACCTAGCTTCATGTAAGCAGCCAAAACGACTGATTTCATGACCGTCAGAGGCACAGATAAATCCCCCAGGATCCCTGCCCTTTAGTGTCCCCGTACTCCCTGCTACTAACTCTGCAGCCAGGAACCGGGATTTAACCCGGGGAAGAGGAAGAGGAGGAGGGTGTGGGGGGTGGAGAGGTGCAGGTGCATTTTGGCTTAGACCTGAGCTATGTGTTGGCCAGGCCTTTGCCTACAAGACAACCACCACCCGACTCATCTGTGTGGCTCTTAATTGGCTGAGAATCTGTATGGGGAGATGGGTCTAAATCCAGTGACCTCTTTCAAACCCCCAGAGAACTGAAAAGAGGATTCAACAGGCAGAAGATGCTCAAAACATACTTGTTTATGGGTCTGGAGATGATGACATATTTTCTTTTATCCCACTTGATTTAATTTAGGCATTAGCATGGGGACTGGCACGGCGAACGTGCTCCGTGAATAGTGACTGGCACCACTGTTGATGATACACACACTTGACTCTCACTGGGTCCCTACCCTGTGTGGGAGGTGTCCTCGTGTAGCCAGTGTGGAAGCCGTGTTAGTGGAGACCGTCCCAGGGCCTGCCTGCCTGCCACCCCTCAGCCTGCAGCACCCTTGGAGTTGAAGTCAGGATTGATTTTATCCCTTTTAGTCATTTTAGTCATGTTCTGAAAAAAGATCCAAGCTATCAGCCCTTAGATTGTGGAACCTTCAGTAGGTCAGCTGCTTTGAGACCTTACAGAAAAACCTACCCTCTGATTCACTCCCCACCGCCCACATTTTTTTTTTTTTTAATAAATTTTCTGAAGACAAAGGTTGAAAGCTCTGTAGGGAAGAAGAAAAGTTTCATCCACCAGCAGAATTAGTGCCTGCAGCTCAGGACATGCTGGGTGCATAAAGAACAGGGAGGGGCACCAGTGGTGCGGCGGGTTAAGCCGCCACTTGCAATGCTGGCATCCACCTTTTTTTTTGTTTTTTTTTTTAAGATTTATTTATTTACTTGAGAGGCAGAGTTACAGACAGAGAGAGGGAGAGACAGAGAGACAGGTCTTCCATCCATTGGTTCACTCCCCAGATGGCTGCAATGACTAGAGCTAGGCTGATCCAAAGCCAAGAGCTTCTTCCAGTCTCCCACGCAGGTACAGGGGCCCAAGCATTTGGATCATCTTCTACTGCTTTCCCAGGCCACAGCAGAGAGCTGGATCAGAGTGGAGCAGCTGGGACCCTGCATCCCCTATGGGATGCTGGCGCCGCAGGTGGAGGCTTGTCCTGCCATGCCACAGTGCCAGCCCCTGGCATCTGCTTCTGATCCAGCTCCCTGCTAACTGCCTGGGAAGGCAATGGATGATGGCCCAGGAACTCGGGCCGTGCCACCATTGTGGGAGATCCGGATGGGGTTCCTGGCTCCTGGCTTCAGCTTCAGTGTGGCCCAGACCTGGCTGTTGTGGCCATTTGGAGAGTGAATCAGCAAATTAAAGTGCACTCGCGCTCCCCCTCCCCCAACTCCCTCTGATGCTCTTTCAAATCAATAAATCAATATTGAAAAAAACCACAAAATGCATACCCAGGGTCACCAGGGCTGGCGCTGGGAAGGCCCATCTGACAGGACAGCCAGCCCCGTTCCGGCATCGTTTTGGAAGGGGCAGGAGAGCGATGGGATGAGCTGGTGCCTGGCTGCAAGCAGGGGATCTGTATGGAGTGTTCACTATTGTAAACGCTCCCCCTGCGGGCTGAGGACGAGGAGGAGGGAAAGCTGGAGTGTTTTGGGGCGGCAGGGGAAGAAGGAATAGTTGGGTTCCGATCTCTTGTTGGAGGGACTAGGTGCATGCCACCAAGGTCCCTCTCCTACCTTGCCCTGGGTGAGGGCAGCCCAGCCAGAACAGCCTTGATCTCTCCTGGCCCAGTGATGTGTGAAGGAATGTTGGACTGAACCATGCAGGCCAGCCAGGCCCTCGCAGGCTGACTGGTCCATCAGGGAGACAGGAAAGCAGCACATGTGTTCAGGAATCTGCTGTGCATCCACAATAGCCGAAACGATCCCGGAGGGCTCAGCTTCCTGACTTCAAAACTTACTACAAGGCTATAGCGACCAAGACAGTGCGGTACTGGCATAAAGATCGATATAAATCAACAGAAGAGAGAAGACAAACAATGGCACTGAGAGGTGAGAAACAAACCCTCACGTTTATGGTCAGCTGTGTTTTTTTTTTTTTTTTTTTTTTTTTTAAATATCTAGTTTGTTTATTTGAAAGCAGAGTTACAGAAGAGAGAAAGGGAGATCTTCCATCTACTGGTTCACACCAAAATGGCTGCAATGGCTGGGGCTGGGCCAGGCTGAAGCCAGGAGCCAGGAGCTTCATCTGGGTCTCCCATATGGGTACAGGGGCCCAGGCACTTGGGCCATCCTCTGCTGCTTTCCCAGCCTCATTAGCAGGGAGCTGGATCAGAAGTGGGTCAGCTAAGACTCAAATGCACATATATGGGGTGCCGAGGTTGCAGGCAGCAGCTTAGCCCCTATGCTACACCAGCCCCAGTTGCCTCTTTAAAAAAAGATTTATTTATTTATTTATTTGAAATACAGATATAGAGATCAAGGGGTGAGAGAAAGGAAGATCGACATCTTCCAACCACTGGTTCACTCTGCAAATGGCTACAATGGGGGCTGGTGCTATGGCGGAGTGGGTTGGGTATCTGCTTGTGGCACCTGCATCCCATATGGGCACCAGTTCGAGTCCCAGCTGC